TTTGTAATATTCTCATAAAGAGGAAACTTTCTTCCTTTGAATACACAACAATGGACATTTTTTTCAAATTTATGAGTATATTTTAAGATTATTATCAAGAGAATATTCGTTGTTGAAGAGAACCGTTGCTTTTTAAAAGAGGCAAATAAACTGAATAATCGCTCTTCTTACCAATAGAATGATATTTTTCTGTATGTGGATATCCGGAAATTCTCTCGTGTTATTCGTTTTGTCATTTTCGTTGTATCACTGATTTATTCTTCATCAAACGACAAATGAATTTTCTCGTTATAATATTTGCTCGTTCGGCACGTTGATTTTAATACGTGGTCGTTACCACCTCGCCACGGGACTCTTCCCCGCGAGAAAGAACGATAAAAAATTACCGGGTATTGTCTTTACCGTCTTTACCGTCGCATTGTCTTACGCGGTGGTTGTTTGCGTCACGATGACGCAACAGCGAGAAACTCCCTTGCTCAAACGTCACGGGATGTTTGAATTCTGCGCGATATCCGGGAAGAATACACTCGGCCGATTAATCTGGTCGCAACGAGTTTACGTATGGAAATGAAGCAGCACGTCATCGGGCGACGCGCTTCGCGTAGAAGCTCGGTAAGTTCCGCAACGGGCAAAAAGGACCGGCGTAGAAAAGAATTGCGGAGTCGTGTAACATCCTTTCATTCGTTCATTTATCATCCGTCCGACGACATAATAGACGATCGCCGACCACCGTGGACTCTTCACTGCGACGATGTTTTACCGCGAATACGCCGCTCTTCTCCCCCTTCCGCCCCTCCTCGAATTTGAACGTAAAGTTTTACTATCTCCCTCAATACGACGCGGACTTGGACAATATTGATTCTCGGGCTCTTATATATATACGGCCGCGAGCGCCGTTAACGACGTCGTCTATGAGCCGTAAAAGCCACATCACTCCGTCAAATGTCGGTCGAATTCGAAATTATAAATCACGTATTCCGAGGGAGATTGTCCTTAATCTACAGTCACTCGTTATTCAGGATTCGCCGATATCCCCCTCATAATTTACTCTTGCATCCCGCTTAATACGACTGCCTGCCTCCCACTCTCGGCTTATTCGCGGGTATTTAAACTTTAATCGTCTCAGAATCCAGAAGTAAAAGGAAGATATAACGCCAGATATTTATCTCCGCTCGTCGGAATCTCCGCGCCGAACGAGTCCTCCCTTTTCCGGCATCGGCGCGTCCACTGCTCGTACGGATACTAATTATTAATCCCGCAAGCAATATCAATTCGCGGCAGCCAGTAACCCGTAAGAAACACAATGCATTCGTCATTGATATACGCGCCCGTTCCCATCTCGCGCTAGCCATTAGCATCAGGCTCAACCAGGCCGATTAATTGGAACACATTGTACCTGGGAATCGCAGGTGTAATGAAAGATAATCGTTCCCGTCTGCTCGGGCTACCGTCGAAGTTACATTACCACCGACACGAAACCCTCCGATTCCCTATTAAAAGTATCGCAATCGAGCGGGAAATAGCGCCGTTGGCAAGCGCCGTAACGCAAGATGGATGCGCATTTCGGTCGGACGAGGCGGATTTAATGTCCCGGCTCGATCCCGGACTGGATCGATCGCCGCGCATAATACGGAATGAAGGGAAAAAGGACGCGGTGGACCGCCGATCGATTCCGCATCTTGCTCCGGCCGATCGTTCATCCGATCGAGCGACTTTTTCGCCGGTGAAATCGAAAAAAGAGGGGAAGAATGCATATCATCGAATGCATGCATATTCGGCGATCGCATTCCCTTCGCACGTGCGAAACGAATCGATTGCGGTGGATTTTGTGGCGCGGGATTCTTCCGAAATTTGCTCCTCTTAACAATTTACCGGCACGTATCGCGCACGCGACATCTCCGGGAAAAATCGCCGAATATCCGTCGCGGCTGTGTATAATTATTTTCCCTCGCAAATTCCCCACGACTGCCACGAATTGCCACGGGATCGGTTTAAAATTCACCGTATTTTTTTGTACCAGTGGGAAAAAAGCCCTGCGGGGATCGAATTTCGCGGATATAATGCGTTTCGAAAAAACGCGCGACCAACTCGGCTGAGTCGTTTCAACGCGATTCCGTCTGATCGGAAAACGAATCTCTTCAAGCCTCAACAAAGTTTCGTGTAATTAATTACTTTCTTAATTAATTATATTATGTTTAATTAACAGTTAATATGAGCCAATTTAGTGGGAGACCGTTTAAGTGATAGTTGACTCGAACGAATTCAATGGAAGGCCGTTCGATCGACGATCGATTGCGAATTCAATGTTTATTATTTTACTTTAATTATATTGGGAGTACAAATTAGTTCGGTCCGTTTTCAAAAGATGGCTCTGACTGTTATGAATGTTTCATAGTGACAGCTGATTTCGGTGGTTTTAAAGAGATTAGACATCTGTCAATAATATTCAGTTTATATCACTTTGAGTTTCATACAAAACCCCTGTTTTTTACTGTGTTGAATATGTCAAATTTTGTGTTAACTAAGCAGCATTTGCGGGAGGTTTTAGTTTTCTGCTTTAATTGGAAGAAAAGGGCAGCTGAAGCGCATCGAATGCTTGTAGAAGTTTATGGTGACAATGCTCCAACTGATAAATCATGTAGGGAATGGTTTCGACGTTTGAAGAATGGTGATTTCAGCGTTAAAGACAAGCCTCGCTCTGGACAGCCAAAAAAATTCGAAGACAAAGAATTGGAGACATTACTCGATGAAAATCCGAGTCATGAATCGGTATAGGCTACAATTGATTCGTTTGAACCGTGCATTACGAGAAAAACGACCGGAATACGAGCAAAGACATGACAAAGTTATTGTTCTGCATGATAACGCTCGGCCTCATGTCGCAAAAGTCGTAAAAAATTATTTGGAAACGCTCAATGGGATATTTTACCGCATCCGCCGTATTCGCCGGACATTGCTTCTTCTGATTACTGGTTGTTCCGACGGATGCAGCACGATTTGGCAGGTCACCGGTTCACTTCTTTCGCAGAAATCGAAAATTGGCTCCTAACTTGGATCGCCTCAAAAGACGAGACATTTTTTCGAGATGGAATTCGAAAATTGCCTGAGAGGTGGGAAAAAGTAGTAGCTAGCGATGGACAGTACTTTGATTAATCTGTTCATTCATTTTGTTCTGAAATAAATGCATTTTTTACCACAAAAAACGAACCGAACTAATTTGTACTCCCAATATACCTTATTTTTATTATACTTTTTATCTGTCAGAGATAAAGGTGTAACAAAGAACCGATATTTATACCGATATTTATACCGCGCGCTGTCGTTGAAGAAGAGTTTACGGGAAGTTCTGTCGGGAAAAGTTTGCGATATTAGCCAGTTTGCATCGACGCAAATAAAGCGAAAGCAAATTGTTGCGGATATGAGGAGGAGAATTCGGTAGCCGAAGGGCCATAAAGAATTTTTACGAAAATCATCGGCCTTTTGATTATTCGAAACGCATTATATGCGCGCGAGCGTCATTTGTCGCGACAGAATGCGCTTCGGAATTGGACGAATTCGATGTGTTTCGACTCGAACGCGCGCGCACCTTTGCGACGTCGGTGTAGAACGGCGAACCGGATATCGCATTTTTGGAAAAGCCGAAGGAATGGATATCACGGTTACGAGACGTGAATATACCGGCCATCACGAGGTAGCGATATGGAACGTATAGCGCGGATGAGATTTCCTTAGTCCGGCAAAATCCTTCCGCCTCCGGCAGCGCGGAGCGCGCGAGCGATATTTTTTCCATCCGCCGTTTTTACGGCCACGTTTCAGGGCATCGTTCCCCGTTTAAATTTCAATCTCGACCCTGCGCCTTCGGAGATCGATGCTCTCTCGCGCTACTTGCCCGTTCCCGCGAATCAAGAATCGCGCGATCCCGTCGTGATTATTTCGTGAATTATTTAACAGCGACGCGTCGCGCGCGCGCCCCCTCCCTCCCACCCTCTATCACCTCCCGGCATGTAGATGCGCGCCGGCGTCTCGGCTACGCGCTCGTGTTCGCCGACAGTTAAATTTTACGCGATTACAAGCTCCGCGAGCTACTCCAGCGATCGTCCCGCCGTTTAAGCGTTGTTAAAACAAATGATGGATCGTTTAATCGTACAAGTTTCGCGCGGCCGTTCCGGCGTTTAACAACGTCGTTTGGAAGAACGATCGCGTCCGCTCTGTAATCGCCAGGCTGAATTAACGACAGCGACTGCGGGCCCCCCGCGTCGGATGCGCCGCGGCCGCGCGTCACGGGGCCCCCTTCGCCTCCTCGCTCAGTCCCGTCCGGCTTTTTTACTTTTGCAGAACAGATTGGACTACGACGCCTGCCGACCTGGCAGCGCCTCAAGCATCGCAGGAATTCGCCTAGTAATTTTAGTGTCGACTCGACGTGCAACTTGCGGATGATACGCGTCACGAATCGCATTCGACGTGATGCTGCGCTGTCGTGCGCACCGCCGCCGAAGTCTGAAATTTATCTTTCGCTTGCAGGACACACTTGGCGCGGTCCACTGACGCGTATTGCTCGACTTACGTCAATCCCAGCGACGCGCACTATACTTGTGTCATCTGTGTTCGGTCTTCGGTTAATTATCGGGCCTGGAGATACGCATATATAGCGGCGGGAAATTTATCACAATTATTTTCGAGCCATTAACTCCGGCCGCGCTTCGCGATAATTATGGATTAATCATCAATTTCCGCGTCGGGTCGGCTTAACGCTGGCGTTTCGCGGCTCCGTCGCCTCGTGGCAAATTGTGACTCGCCGTTTGACAGGCTTTCTTTTTCTCCTCCTTCTATTTGTCCAGTCCGAAAAATATTTGGTTCATCGCGGTGGTTTATCGTCACGAGGATGGTCTTGCTATTTTTAATATCGAGTGCCTGTTTTCCCCGTAATAACCTCGCCGGTGTGCGGATTTGTTATTTCTTCGGCTTTGTTGCGCGACAGCAATGGTTTTGTTTTCACTTACCTCAGTCTGCTGTGCTCCGTATGCGGCGATTCCTCCGGCGATTTGTAACTGTTTCCGGTCTGCAACAAAGAACGAAACGCACATAATGAAGACCGCGATTTTCGTGATCCGCAGTTAGTAGTAGTATCACGCGGGAGAAAAGGATTGGCTGCAGGAAATATAGTTGTGGTAACTAAGATGTGTCATTGAAATAGAGACAGCTAATGTCGTCGCTACAAGCCGAAGCTAAATTTATTAGCTACTAACCTAAACTATCCGGCGTTGCGCGAGCTATCACAAAGTGTCATAAAATCAAGGAGAGTGAGTAAGGTTTTCCCAGATTTCACGGTAGCCTTTCACAGGTTCCTAGAGAATAACTATACAAAATTTAGTCCAAATCGATCAAAAGATTTAGGTATTAATAGATAACATGTGTAGACAATAGCTACCACTTTCTTCGCTACCCGAATAAATACGTTTCTAATCTCAGCTAATAAATTTGTATTACGTAGCGAATGCATTTTGCTTGTGATAGCCAACTTTTAGCAATGACAGCAAAACAATTGGTCTTTTAGCTAAGTCCAAATCACATAACTACACGAAAGAAAAGATTGGTTGTGTCAACCAGAAAAATAGTAAAATATAGTATAGCTTTTCTTTATGGCTTCAAGAATCAATTCTTGGTTGCGCTTATTTACTTATTTGTTGTCTTAAAAATGTTTTAAGCAACAAATCGAAGTGTTAATGAACAATGTCGCATAGGTCAACGTAACCAAGAATTGGTTACTGAAACTAGAAATAAAATCTATGCCATATTTTACTATTTTCTAGTTAAAACACAAGCATTCTTTTTTTGTGTACTAAGATTTAGCTGATATTACCAAGTAGTTTCTTTGCGAGTAGAATGAGAATATCGTACGGATCTTGCGCGTCTTCTCGCGACGACAGTTGCGAGGCTGGGTATGCAAAACTATGCAAAAAAGATTCGCTCAAGTCGCATCGGAGAGGGAGAGCAACCACCGTGTGACGAAAAATACGCGTCACTATTTCAACGAGTAAGAGTGACAAAATCATGTCAAAATGCGCATAAACAATTGAGTAGCTCGACGAGAAGCGTTTGAAAAATTCAGCAGAATGTCACTTAGAGTGTTCCAATTGTCACCGGAATTCGCCTGAAGTTCTTCCCATCTGTGCTTTTTAACAATTTTCTCGGCGCGCTCGTTGGAGCGTGGAATTATATGTTGCCGTCGAAAGCTATCGAAAAAGTATACGCATGTTGCCTCTAAAAACGTGTCCTCCCCCTGAAAGCAATCAGCCACTCAGATCAGGTTCTCACTCTGTGAGGCGGCTCGATGTTCGAGAGATTAATCTGATCAGCCGAGCCGGGGTCGTTCGCCGTGCTGAATCGTCATTGGATCCTCACCGGTGTCCGATGCCCCATCGTCGTGTAGTCGCGTCATAGCCGTAAACGCGCGGTGCTTAATTCCGTCAAAATGACGAAGACACCCGGAGGTGGCGGCCGTTCGCGAAATAACATTCTCGGAAACGAAACTCCTGTCCCGTGAACACGTGCACCGACCGTTAATATATCGGCCGTGGAAAACAACGCGCCTTTGCGACGACGACGACGAGAGCGACGACGACGCTGGCGAATTAGTCCGAGAGCAACATATTGCGGGAGCGTGCAACAACTCGCGCAACAAATGGAATCCAAGGGATTTCGCGATAACGCATTGCGCGGCCACGTAATTAGAATTTATGTCGATTGAGGCACGGCGAAGGAAGAAAAAGGACGATCTCGACGATAAGGCAAAGGGGGTGCTCGGACGGGGTGGGTCTGGCCCGTGGGGCCGACGGGGTAATATATTTTCATCGAGCAATTCGCGTCATAAATTCCTTCATTACGCGCCGGCGATTCGCGGATACCTTTTGAGTTTCCCTCGTCCTGTTTCCCGGAAGGCGAGCATTAAAGTGCAGGGGCGGCTGTACGCGTTATCGATGTTGCAATTATGCTCCAGATCGCTCGGCGTCGTATCCATAGCGGCGATTGTGATCGGCGCCATTATAAGGGAGGAAGGGTGCGTCACGTCGATTCGAGTCTGAAGTGCGGGTGGCGCACAGAAAAACGTAAACAGTAAGCGAATTGATCAACCGCAATCGATGATTCTTCTTACCCGAGGCGAAATTTTGTTCCTATATTCGACCTCAATATTCTATTTAACGTCCACTTTGAGACTCTCAAAAGTATGTGTCAACTTTTTTAGATTCCACTTAACCTATTTAACTTTGCCGAGAGGTGGAATTTTGTGTGTCTTCTGTCCCTTAGAGACTCTAAGTAGGACATCAGTTACCATGTGTATTAAACATAAGGAGACCGTATAGATGGCCTCAGGGACATGTTGCTCATATGCTTGTAGTATTAGACTTGAGAAGAACAACGGATGTAAAATCGCGAAATATTTTTTTTAAAACATATATACTTTTCTATAAGCTTCATTAAAATCAGAATAATATTACAGTTAAAATACAGAAAAAATTGGTTTAGTAGTAATTATTATTTTTAGGCCTCTTGAAATTTTGTATTAATAATTTTTATCGTAATTAAATAAAGTTAAACAATGTGTTATTAACTAGAATGAAGTTTCTTGCAAGAATGAAATATTACTCTGTTTTGGATAATAAAAACAATTTTTATTTATAGAATAATTGAAATCTAGCATATGAGTGGACAAGACAAAATTGGTCCATAATTAATGGGGCCGGCTGTGGAGATCTCGAAACTGCTAATCAGGATACATATTTTATATGTGGCTTTCTTGCCTTGCACTACTGGGCAATTTGCCCGTTACCAAGGCAAGATGGCCACGTTACTGCATGTTTGTATTTTGGTTATTACAAAGTAAAATATACGGTTAACAGGATCATGGCGGGCATTAACATATAGAAGAAGACTGCCTCTGTCATGCTTATACAGTCAGTCATAACAATTACAGTCAGTCATAACATTGTCTGAAAAGTTGTAACTTCGAAACTCTAAAATATAGAACACATCTAACTCTAGTCTGCCCTACACTAATTATTCAGATATTAGAAGGTTCAGATCGAAAACGAGGCTAAAATTTCTATTCGGATACGGTCCAAAGATAATCCATTGCGACTGGTCAATTGTCTCATTGCTCAAGTCTTACGTTTTTCTGCGTGCCATCCGCAGTATTCCCGTGCCGGACGCGATCGCAATCGTCCTCAGGAGAAACAAAACCGGGCCGACGTCGCGTTTTCCACCCCCTTTTTTCTCGTCACTCACCTCTCCTCGTCAGAGAGAAGACCGTTAGTCACAGAGCTCGACGAGAGCGGGAAATGTTATTCTCGCGTAAATTGTGAACGCGGTTACACCGCGACAATCGAATTACCAGTTATGGAAATTCGTGCGTTTCGAAACAATGGTCATTATAAATACCAGGCCGTTGCGGCGCGATAGAACCGCGTATCGTAGATGATCATGGTACGAACAATAATGATTATTTCATTTCAATCAACCCGCGGAAATTGAACAGTTCTGGAAACTAGAGCGAGAAAGGACGTTGCCATAGCCGGCCGTGCTCGTCGCACTACGCCCGATGGATGTCGATTTAAAACTACGTCTAATTACGCATTGCATGCATACGGCGAGCCATGCTCGCGCAATCTATCCATTGTAGTGCGTTAACGAAGTTGGAAATCAGTTTGATCGATCAGTTAAAGTAAATGACTGTTGAGCACGTTTGACTGGCCGTTGGTCCCGCAGCGATTTCATCGCGCCGATTATTGCGCCGACAATCACAACCTTTGACATCTGCTCTGCGCGGCAATATTATGACGCTACAAAATACCAATCGGCGTAACAAAATCGCGTGTAGATACGCGCAGCCAAGCCCAAATTTTTCCCTCGATGTGTTTATGAATCTATTCCGCCGATGTTTTCCGACATACACGAAGCCTCTTCTTCTCTCTCTCTCTTTCTCTCGGTTGTTCTCCATTCTGGACGAGCGGCTCGTTGTTCGTGAGTGATCGAGATTGTTCACGATGTTGTCGCATCGCCACGTAATACATCTCCGCGAAACGACCGATTCAATCGCTCCGATCCGATCGCCACCGTCACGCCGTCGTTAATCGCGTCCCTTATCGGTTATCACTCGTTCCCCGACTTACCTACCGCGCGGGCATTTATCTTGTAATCCAGCCTCGAGTAGCGACCGTCTGCTCCTCGTAAGTCTCATTCCGTCTGCAATCTAAGATCAGCACTCAGTCACCGTGCTCTCTCCAAGGCTTTGCCTCGCCGTCGCCGTCGTCTTCGTCGTCGCGGCCGCCTCGGCCGGGTCGCGCAATCCGCACCGGAGTGAATTCTTCGTCCCATCCATCCGGGGACAGTCAATTTGTCCTTATTTTCTCCCCCGGCCGGGACTTTCACTTCGCTCGAGTTAAATGTTTTTTTGTCCTTCTCCACCCTGCGCGCACCGTTTCGCGCGGCGCCCTAGGAGCCAACCCCCGGCGGAAGACGCGACGCGACTTTCACTCGATTGTGCCTCGGCCAAGTTGTGCTTGGCCCGAACGAGTAGCTCTTGGCACGGGAATCACTATCATCCGTTCTCTCCCCCGATCTCTCTCCGCGCGAGGGAAGCCCGAAACGAGAATGAAGAACAAGAAGAAGACGAGAGGGGGTTCCCCCTGTGCCCGCCCGGGCCTCCTCGTAGTGCCGTTCCGTCTCTCCCCCGCACCCCACCGGCAACTGGCAAAGCGGAAGGAGGACGAAGAATGGGAATGCGAGGAAGAAAACACCACCGGGGTCTACTGCCTCTCCGTACCGAAATACACTGGTCCGCAGGTCCGTGTCTATAGTTTACTCGGGCGACAGAGAGAGAGTGAAAGAGAGGGCCGGGCGGGTTGGCGCGGGTGCTCGGACGACTCCGGGTTAAAGTGGCGTCGCGTGTACAACCGCACCGGCGGAATATACGACACTGCGACAGAGCGGCCCGCTCCGTCGCCGCCGTCGCCGCCGCTGCCGCCGCCGTCGCCGTCGCTGCCTCCGTCGCGCGGGAAACTG